GCCACTATCATCCATTCATAAATATATGGACAAATTATTTAATTTTTTCTTCTCGATAAATTTTATTCCCCATTACTCTTGTCAATAACAGCTCTTCTTCATTTGCTTTCCATCAGTAAAATTTATCTTTAGAAAAACCCCATCTGAAGGGAGCCTACACAGGTCACTGGCCTTCTTCTCAGCATGGCCACAATTTGGTTTGCCATAGGTGAGCAAAAGAAAACATGAAGGCCTCTTTCACCTTCTGGTGTCAACAGTGTCTGCACTTCTGAATCATGCAATATCACCATACATGTATCTCAGCCTTTTTCTAAGTAATATTTGATGCTGGTGGTACATGAGTACTGTGTATCTCTCACCACTTAGAGTGTCCTGTTCGACACACAGGAAGTGTGTTATCCAGTGTGACTAATTATCACAGCTTTTCTATGGCACTAACACTGAACAATGAAGTTTGTAACAAAGAACCGACCAAATGCTTGAATGGCTAGGTAAGTAGATTATTGGTGAAATGATAAAATTACAATTAACATCATTATTTTCCTTTCCACAGATTTGCAACCGTATTATAAATCATGATGTTAAGGGCGACTGTATTAAGAGCAAAAACACTTAAACACACTAACGCTGTGAAGCCTAACAAAGACTGGAGGCTTGTGGGCGCTGTGATGTACCGTGTGAGAGGGTGATGCGTAAAAGTAGTCCCTGACGATGCAAAATGACTTTGGACTGTGTCATCGGACGTTAAAGAATTTTTGAGTACCTAAAATTAGCGATGTAGTACTGAAACAACGTTAAGCGGGCGATATTATACGAGGACTTACTGGTACTTTAACGGGCAATGTTAGGTGAATTTGGCATCCTGTGTACGCTGGCAAGGCCGTGGGCTCGGAACACCTCGTCTTGTCGCGGTGCCCGCCAATTCTCTGGATGTCGGTCACACGAGAATAACCCGTTATAGTACCTTTTCCTCACACAGCCAAACTGTGGAATGCTCTGTCTTTTGTGTTTCCATACCCATGCAATTTGTCTCACCCAAAAGATGGTTTTCCGGCATCTTCGTGGGTGTAGATTAATAGTGATATTCCGCAGCCGAACAATTGGTGCTGGAGACTTCGGGAATGAGAATTGCCGGTAACGAGACGACTTCCGAACCAGGAAAATATCCCTCATCCCCAGAATTTTCCGGGTCGAATTTTTCTAGTTATTTTCGCGAAAATGTGCCTCTCGGAAAATTTCAATTCCTGCCATCGGAGCTATTATAATCTTTTTTCTTTTCTATTTTTAATTTCTGTTTACTGTACTCTTATTTTTCTCTCCTTAACCAGTCCCTGTGGGTCGATGACCTGTGCCGGATGGGCTATTCCAGTAAAAAAAAATCTTATGTCATCAAAATACTTTATCTATGCATTATTATAAAATAGCACACTTAAAAAGCATATCTTCATATATACTAACATCCATAACTTTTCTAAATACTGTAATGGTCAAAATAAAGAAAATGAGGACATTGAGATAATGCATCACAGGAGGGTGACAGCAATCAGCTGAGTGAATCATTGTTTATGGAGGAGGTCATCACTGCATAGCAACAGTTACTAGGTCTGCTGTCTGTCGTGTGGAGGAGGGTGAGATAAACCGTGCTCCAGCAAAATGGTGCCTTTTTTGATTGACACTGTGAAAAGTTGAACATTACATTTACTAATACAGTACAGTATCTATAATTTGTTTGAACACAATTGAGTAGCACGTCCAAATGGTTAAACACACAAACATGTTGGAGAATATTGATATGAAAAATTACACGAGTGATTTAATCTTTGTGAAAAATATAATGTGTTGTTGCCCGTTTATGTAATGTTCTTCACCTCAAATGAAACTCAGTACATGTGCCAACGCTGCAGAGACAAGGTATCCAAACTGGGGAATGTCAATGACTTTACATTTAACCGTCTCACTACTGGATGACGCTTTTAATATTCTATTTGGCTACTGCCAGACGATTTTATTGTCCTTTAAATATTATACAGTCAACCCTCAAGGATTGGGACCCTGTAAATCTGGATTTTGGAAGACTTGGACAAAAAAATTAGGGTCTTGGGCTAAAAAGTTCACATAAGAAGCATTCCCAAAACAGGGTGAAGGTAGTTTTAGGCTTAAAGTTTTTATCTTATAAGATGTCACAGACTAAACTTAGCAGACTATAACTTACATTGCTGGAATACTTGCAAGATAGTAAATAATTTGAGAATAAACATCACATAGATTGCACAAGAGATAAAATTTTTAGTCTTTTTAGTAGTACATTTGAGTACAAAGTGAGTACAGTAATGTGTTGTTCACAATTATGGCTTTTTTACAAGAAAAGTGTATAACTAACCACAGTGGTCAGGATAATATGTACTGTATTTTTGGTGTTTTTATATTATTATTTATCGTTTTTATACATATACAGGGGTGATGCTATAACGAACGTAATTGGTTCCAGAACCTCGTTCGTTATAGCATTCGTTCGTTATAGGATTAATCCGTTCCAGGTCCCCAAATACAACCACTTAACACTGAAAAAATTCTGTGGAAAATGTAAAAATACGTACTTTATCTTACCTTAGTGTTATTCAGCATGCAGGTCACCCTAAACACTGCACATCACTATCACTTCCACTGGGAGTTTTGGCTTTAAGGTCCTCAAACAATTGTCTGGCCTTCTCACAAATTATAGCTTCACTGATGTTACCACCTGCCATTTCTTTCTCCTTATCCACACTAAGAGTAAATTTTCATCTTCAATCACATTACACTTTGCTTGCTAAGTCTAAAGATTCTTAGCCACTTTCACAGTTTTAACTCCTCTTTATTCTTCAAAATCGCATACATAGTCGATTTAGCCATCCCATATTCATCACTAAGTTTCGCAATGCTTCTTCCATTCTCACGTTTTTTATAATTTTTCTTAGTTTCAAGGGTTATTGCTTTTCACCGCTTTGGACTACTCATTCTTTAATTGTATACTTGTATAACAAAATAGTTATACAAATAACGTAATTTCCACATCAAAAGACGAAATTTCAACAATAACAGTGGTGCACTGGCTACACAATGAGACAAAGATGGCGCCTGGACGCCTTGTTGTGGGTCGCACAACAATATTCATGCTGCCAGGCGAAATAGTCCCGTGATTCATCCGCGTTCGTTGTAGGAGTTATGCTCGCTTTAAGACATTCTCAATTTTATAGGTAAAACCGTTCGTTATAGGAATATTCGTAGTAGGATCCGTTCGTTATAGCATACCCCACTGTAGTAAATTCGCCAGAAGATTCGGAAAATCGGCTTTTTAAGACAAGTGGTCCCCCCTTTTAGACCGGATCTTTGATGGTTCACTGTACCTACATGTCTGCATTATAATTATGTTGTTTAGAGTCTGTTGCTCCCCACCCCCGATCATCTCCCAGCTGGGGTATTGTATATTGGCTATAACTGAGGCACTGTCACACGTACTGAGTCACCTGGAAGTCAAGGAACATTACATGCAGGCAACTGTACATGTAAAGAAATCTTTACTCACTATGTCTAAGAAATTATTTAATTATATCAAGGAAATTTGGTACAGTATACAGCAACTTGTAAAAAAATTAAATACTTATCCAGTCATCAGTTTTTGTCAGAGTAACTTACCAGGTATATAAGTGAAGGGGACTTCTCTTATGCAAGGCCTCCCATTGCTATATTCTAAACAATATACCTGAAAATAAAGTACAAATCATCATAAGGAACTATGAGTTGATATTTAATAGAGCACCCTGTACTGTACCTGGAGTGGAGACTTAAACTATTAATGGGCTGCAAATGTGAACAGGCCTAAACTAAGCTCTGAGAGAGAGAGAGAGAGAGAGAGAGAGAGAGAGAGAGAGAGAGAGAGAGAGAGAGAGAGAGAGAGAGAGAGAGAGAGAGAGAGAGAGAGAGAGAGAGAGAGAGAGAGAGAGAGAGAGAGAGAGAGAGAGAGAGAGAGAGAGAGAGAGAGAGAGAGAGAGAGAGAGAGAGAGAGAGAGAGAGAGAGAGAGAGAGAGAGAGAGAGAGAGAGAGAGAGAGAGAGAGAGAGAGAGAGAGAGAGAGAGAGAGAGAGAGAGAGAGAGAGAGAGAGAGAGAGAGAGAGAGAGAGAGAGAGAGAGAGAGAGAGAGAGAGAGAGAGAGAGAGAGAGAGAGAGAGAGAGAGAGAGAGAGAGAGAGAGAGAGAGAGAGAGAGAGAGAGAGAGAGAGAGAGAGAGGAGAGAGAGAGGGGAGAGAGAGAGAGAGAGAGAGAGAGAGAGAGAGAGAGAGAGAGAGAGAGAGAGAGAGAGAGAGAGAGAGAGAGAGAGGAGAGAGAGAGAGAGAGAGAGAGAGAGAGAGAGAGAGAGAGAGAGAGAGAGAGAGAGAGAGAGAGAGAGAGAGAGAGAGAGAGAGAGAGAGAGAGAGAGAGAGAGAGAGAGAGAGAGAGAGAGAGAGAGAGAGAGAGAGAGAGAGAGAGAGAGAGAGAGAGAGAGGAGAGAGAGAGAGAGAGAGAGAGAGAGAGAGAGAGAGAGAGAGAGAGAGAGGAGAGAGAGAGAGAGAGAGAGAGAGAGAGAGAGAGAGAGAGAGAGAGAGAGAGAGAGAGAGAGAGAGAGAGAGAGAGAGAGAGAGAGAGAGAGAGAGAGAGAGAGAGAGAGAGAGAGAGAGAGAGAGAGAGAGAGAGAGAGAGAGAGAGAGAGAGAGAGAGAGAGAGAGAGAGAGAGAGAGAGAGAGAGAGAGAGAGAGAGAGAAAGAGAGAGAGAGAGAGAGAGAGAGAGAGAGAGAGAGAGAGAGAGAGAGATACTGATGGTAGGTGCCTCTTCCTCACCGCTGTGAGGCCTAGAGTTTCCAATCTTAATTTTTACTTTAATACTTACGTTTCACATGAACACTTTCCTGTATCTGGTAACCCTCTGTCTTATAAACACATATTTTAATCCTAAACACACCAAGGTAAGGTTCTGGTTGCTAGTTCGGGTAAATTCATTGGGTTATAATATCAACGCTGCACACTCGAGATGGGCACAAAGGACGCCACTCTTGAAACAAAAGTCTAATGTTCATGGCGTAAGTATATCCACTTCACTTAAAACTGTAATTACGATCCCACTCTCACACATTGCACTATTTGAACACAGACATAAGATTCTCTGATCACTGTACATGTCGGGGTATACGCCACACGAGGATACGAGGTGTATTAAGTTCACACCGATGTATATAAAGATATTTCCTTTCAAGTATAGTGTCTGGGTCACCTCAACCTCAGTGTTCTGATACCTTTATCCCTTCCAGATCATTGTTCTCATGTATTTTCATATATTATCTGTGAAGTTATGTTCACTAAATATCTACAGACGAATAGTATGACCTTCAAACTACGATCTACACTTAGCCCGGATAGCACACTAGCCCGATCAATTGGACTCTCACAGCCATCTTATAGATACTTTGAGTTCTCCTTAATGCTATGAATACATACAATTAATATTATATAACCGTCTCTGGGTACAATATAACACATGATTCAGTAACATTGGGTAGGTGAGTTATCCTTTATCAAGGTTGCCCGTTCTCTGAGATTTTAAGGGCGGATTTAAATGTTATGTAGCGTAATATGAATTAAAGGGGTTTTTTAGGAATGACAATGATGTGCGCAGTGCACTCTGTGATCACTGTTACCTAGTTCTTCCCCTACTGTGATATCTCTGATAATATTTTCTTTATTTGTTAATACTAGGTCTAATATGTTGTTACCTCTAGTAGGTTCTGTAATTAGTTGTTTCAAAAAATTGTCCTGCACTGCAGCTAGGAAATCTTCAGATTCATAGTCACCTACAATGTTGTCCCAGTCATGATTTTATCTCACTTACCACTGTAATACGTACGTCAAGCCAGCAAAAATATTACATTTCCTGAATGTATTATATCGCTAACAGTATGAATAGAATATCATTGTACAGGTAGTTCTGCTATAACTCGATAATTGTGTTCTTGTAAAATATCGTGTTATAGAAAATCATAGAAATAACAGGGCTTATGGAGCAAATATGGTTAGGTGATTACTCGAAATCGTAAAAATTTAGTAGTTAGCCTAACACAAAGGTTAGCACAGTCTAAATAAATGTTACATTCATATCTAATAATGAAATCATACAGTAAATGTAACACTTTACTTGATGGAGGAGAAGGGTGATTTTGAGGTTGATAAAATCGAGTCAAGTGTTATATCCTTTCTTTTACGATCATCACCGAATTCTATCACCAGAACGCTTCTTGTTGATATTCTTCTTTACTATATTCACAGTTAATACAGTGGGTATGCTATAATCTAACGGATCCTACTACTGAATATTCCTATAACTAACTAGTTTTACCTATAAAATTGAGAATGCTATAACGAACGAAACTCCTACAACTAACATTATTTAAATTTTTTTTTTTCTAATTTATTGTTTTATTACAAATATTAATAATATTCTTTATTTCAGGGGTTTAGATGCATATTTATGCACTTTTTACAATTTTATATTATATTTTTCAGTGTTAAGTGGTTGTATTTGGGGGCCTGAACGGATTAATCCTATAACGAATCTATCGCTATAACGAACAAGGTTCTAGAACCAATTAGATTTGTTATAGCATAACCCACTGTACCACAAAATTGGAGAAATAGTAAGCAAAAATCGCAGTTATAAAAAACAAGCGTCACGTTATACAAATATCGTTCCTAATTCATAAATCGCTGTAGAGCAAATCAATGCTATCAAAACACGCGTATAGCAGAACTCACTGTGTGGGTGTCTTGTTTAAAGATACACCATATGGGTTATCAAGGTACATTGTTGACAAGTGTCTGAGTATTGCCATGGAGTTGATATTGGCTTTAGTGTATTACTGGAGTAGTCAGAGTCTAGCATTATTTTAAAAAACATTTTATTGTATGTTTGGGGTATTATTTTCCTACAGTGACCAATTTCTATTTTCTCCATATATCTTGGTACCATTATTACATTGACCAACGTCTTACCTCGAGATGTACCTCTTCAGGTTAGAAGTAAGTCAGAAAGTATAGTAATTGTTGAAGTAGTGGGACACAGAGAGAAAGTAAAGTAAGGTATTATAGGAAGTAGGTCCCCTTCATTGGTTCTTTTTTTTCCCCACCCCTACAATGGTGACAGCGGTAGGGATGTAATTTAATATGGTACCAAGTTGGAAAGAATGAACGTGGTGCTGTGGGCTGTTTTTATCTGTGATTCATAATAACCATTTCTGCACAGGTACCTAATAACCATTTATCTGTATCTAGTGATTATTCCAGTTTGCTAATAATTTTTTTCCTTTTAGATTTAGGCACAAAATAGGTAAACATTGGTTTGGAAATAGCGTACCGGTAGTGGACGCAGGAACAAGTTAACAGAGACGTATCATCATTAACTCGAATACGTTGGATAGCTTCAAACATAGGTTGGATGGATATATGAGCAATAGGGGCTGGGTGTAAATGGGACTGCCCAGTATGGGCCAATAGGTCCGCTGCAGTTTCCTCCATTCTTATGTTCTTATGTGAAACTGGTGACTGGATTTGAAAATATTATTGCTGCAAACCTTGTTTATGACACTTTCATGTGAGGCTGAAACTGTACAGTACTTTCCAATGGAAAAAATTAGCTGCATGTCATCTTGAGTTGTTACACTGCCATGATTTATGCAAACTGTGACCCTAAATCTCTCATTTATGAGTAATGATTGTCTTCAAGGAGAATGTGATTTTGGGATTACCTTTAGTCGCACTTGACTTTGGGGTTTATTGGGTAAACCATGCAAGGTATGGTGCCTACATTTATAGGACATTTCAAAATGGTGACATACTGTAAAATGCATTTTTATAAAAACACTTTTAAACAGAAAATGTGACCATTAGATATTTTTCAGCATATTCTTACCTTTCTTTGAAGAGAAGCCACCAGAATCTTGGTGAATCCTTTGGCATCCGTAAGAGGTGTAAGAGTATACACATTTCCTTGTGTTGGAAGACTGTAGAAAAAATACTGTACATATAAATAAGTAGAATATATTAAATACTGTTGAGTAAGATGAATTTACTTTGAGGTAATTTGAAAATACCTGTACAAATATTAATCATCATAACTACTAAGTACAGTAATGATATACCAAAGTATCAAAAGCCTTGACACATACTTTACATATGAGACGCTCCACATTTGAAGGGGGTGAAGCGCCAAATTAAAAAAGCTGAGAAAAACGTGTTTAAAGTTTTTCGAAGTTCAAACAACCATAACTTTGATGACAACTTATGAGACACCCTGTACATTACATGAGCCACCTGGATAAACAACATCCTCATAAAATATTTTTGTATGTGCTGAAATCAGTACGTAAACATGGTTACAAAATGTATAAAAGAATAAAATTTTTACAAAGTGAATGTCAGGAAGACCTCTTCATTTAATTAGTACTGCACAGTATGTACTGTAGATAAAACTCACAAAACATACCTGAAAAAATGAGCATCTACAAAGTTCAATCTTTTCTTATGTTTGCCTACAACAAAGTCCTTTGCCATCATTTGCCTTCTACTGGTTTGGTCTTCTCTCATGTCATCTGAAATAATAATATACCTAAATTAACACATTCATAATACTGTTACATAAAAATCACAATTTTTACCATGCCTGCCACATCTAGAGTAAGGTGCCATTTGGAAAAATGAAGAATTGAAACTAAAAATCCCATTTATAACTTAGCACAAACCAGGCAACACACCATAATAATAAATAAGGTCATGGTTTGGCAACTAGGGTCACTAAGACCCCCTGACATGTATGAAAGGGACTAAATAACAGAAATTAATCCAATTTTTTTTGCATTTTTCTTAATATAATTTTAGCCCCTTAACAGGAGGGCTAAAAGGTTTCTGCTGCCATTCTGGCTGAGACCTATTATTAAGTCTTCACTAACATGCATGAGCTGTGATTAAAATTGGTCATGAGGAAATGGACATAATGATTACACCATTAGCTCTGAATCACCCAAATATGCACAAGGAAGGAAGAAAGTAGGTAACTGATTTATATTTGGTTATAAAAGAAGATTTCAAGATCAACCTCTCTCAGAAAATTCCTGCTTGAATTGGGTGATTCATGCTCATTAAGCTCCAAATGTTTGCATGATTTACACTCATAACTGGGAAACACATTAAAACATGGTAGCTAACCTCATGTGACCCCAGTGCTAGTCAGAAATGCCTTTTTGTTTACCAATGTTTAGTACTGTATTTTTCTTAGTGCGGATGCTTCATACTCAGTCCATATTTAAATGTGTGTTGCATAAAATAATAATAATAATTCCACAAATAAATACATTTAGAACATAATCATAGCATTATTTTTCAATAATATTACAGTACAATACAACTACACTACTTTTAACAATATTACTTTGATACAACATGATAAAATGGACAAACAATGAAAATGAGCGTGTAGCGTGACAGGCAAATAATCACACTGGATCGTGATAACCAGTGCTGGTCATTTAAACAGTGGCGGGAATAGGCGCGCATTCTGGAACGTCACCCGAGGCGTGCCAGTCGGACATTCTTCAACGTCACCCCGGGCCTACCAGTAAGGGTTAGGCGCCTAGGCATGCACTAGTTTGTCTTGCGTGTCTTGCCAGCAGTATTGAGGCAGCACTCTAGAGACGAGTGTTGTCTCTTCCCCGCGGCAGTTTCATTTTCAACATGACGTGTGAAGGTTGTCGCTGATCTTATATGGACGTAATTTGTGAATTTATGGATAAAGACAACGAGACCCTAATGTTTTTCAAAGTCCACGGCATCGTTCCTTTAAGTAGAAAGTATCGTTCACAGCAATACTGTGAAATAGAACTGGATTTGTGTGCTAAGTCAGTTGTTGTTTGGAAACAATCATCCATCACTTCATTGACGCTGTGGCTCGCGTTTCCCACTATCTCAATAGCAAATCACTCGGTATTATTGTATTTCCGCACCGGACATTCCTACCCCCATTCTATTATCATATTCGAATAAGACGTCTAATTATAAGATAATTTTCTTCTACAGTGAACCCTCACTTTACGCAGTTAATTCAACTAAATAGTATTGAGTAAAGTGTTGCTTATAACATATGGGATTAATTGAATAGAGGCTGGCCGAATTTCAAACTCCACTTTCAGACGCATTACCTCGTTTTTGGTAAAAATAACTTGAATTTTAGTTGGTATGCACTGATGATAAGAGAAATATCAATAATATGTTTTTAACACTTACATTAGTAGAAAAGATGGCTGGGACACAGGATGGGGGGTTGGTTTGAGGGAGAAGATTATTGGCTCTGTATCACTTTATCAATTGTGTCACTATCCACCGAGGCTTGGAGGCTCTTTGTCAAACCTCAAAGACCGTATGATCCATCCTCACTATCATTGTCACTATCACTGACTTGGGCGGCTTTGTGGTGGGTGGGGATTGTGAAGAACTTCGGTAATGTTTTGTTATTAGGCGACTTTGTGCGCATTCTGCTTGCGCGCTCTCGCTTAAAGTTTTACACGGTGACATTCGGTTTTGAGGTTGCATGAACGTGGAAGCTGGGTAGTGGGACCGTAGCGAGGTTGACTGTATTACATTACTACGCGAAATGTATAATAACGGAGATACGTATCCAAATGTTCTCTATTTTCATCCATCAAGCTTCTTATCGCCCTCTCCCACACTGTATGTCTCCTTCATAAATCATCATCCAGCATGTGTTCCGTACGTCCGTGGCCAATAACGTTTTTTTTTTTTGCAACCAATTAAATTGATTTGTGGTTTAATTTGCGGTATTTTTGGCCAAATCAAATTCGATTTTTATTTTGGGTCTCTCATATTTTGAAATTCAAATTCATTTCCAACCATGGAAGTCTGCGATGGGTGTCACTTCAATTATATGGAGCTGATTGCGAGTTTTGGGAGAACAAGCGAAGAAACTACAGCATTTTTTTATCTCATGGTGTTCTCCAGACCTCAGTAAAGTGTCCTAAGTGCAAGAATGAATGTAAATATTGTCAAGACCATCATATGTGGCATTGTGGTAACTCCCAACAACGAACGAGAAGAGACGGCCAATAAGGCAAGAAATAAGTGATTCCATCATATGATGAGAGGTTTAGGTCAGGTCAGGTTTGTTTTTCTGGTGTTTTTTTTTGTGTATTTTGTATTTACTTGGCCATTATTTTTTTCAGAAAACGCCCCTCCAAAAAAAAATCGATGAAAAAACGGCCAATTTCCGACGGAAATGAAAGTCATAACCGATCTAAACACACATAAATACACTAGAAAAATATATGGTATTATTTTCTTGTAACGCCGTTCATTCCTACCACTAATCTATTATCATATTCGAATAAGACGTCTAATTATAAGATAATATTCATCTATTACATTACCGGCGGAAATGAATAATAACGGAGATAGCTCTTCCAAAATATTTTCTATTTTCTTCCATTAACATCCCGCCATTATCGTCTGCCTCTCCTCCAACACTGCGTGTCTCCTGCGTCCCCTTCATAAATCATCCTGCGCATGCGTTGCTGCACACGTCACGAGGCCAATCAAAAGCCTTTTTGCTTTTGAAACCAATTAAAATGTTTTGGGGTTTAATTCGCGGTAATTTGGACCCAATCAAATTCGTGTATTCTTTTTGGTCTCATATTTTGAAATTCAAATTCATTTCCAACCATGGAAGTCTGCGATGGGTGTCACTTAAAGTATATGGAGCTGATTGCGAGTTTTTGGAGAAAAAAACGAAGAAACTATAGCATTTTTTCGATGGCATGGTGTTCTCCCAACCTCAGTAAAGTGTACTAAGAGCAAGGCTGAATGTAAATATCACAAAGACCAACATATGTGGCGTTGTGTAAGAATCCCAGAATGCAACGACGAACAAGAACCAGGCCAATAAGGTAAGAAATAGGTGATTCCATCATATGGTGAGAGTCAGTTAAGTTAGGTTAGGTTAGGTTTGGTTATATTTTTTTTTCTAGTGTTTTATTGTGTATTTGTTAGTCGCTTAGGCACTTTTTTTCTCGGAAAACATCAAAGGAAAAAAATCGCTAAAAAAAACCCGGCTAATTTCCGCCAAAAAGGAAGGTCATATTCGGTCTCAGCACACACAAATACACTAGAAAAATTTATTTTTAACTTGCTACAAGTGAAAGATGCTACAAGAAAATAATTACCAAATATATTTTTTATTTTCTAACAGAGTTGGGTGCACTCATACAATCACTCCGCTGCCCGGGCTCAGTAAGCCCGATACATCTCACGTCCAGAAAATGCCTCAAATTTCACCATATCATAGAAAGTTCTTTCTGTTTCATATACAGGGGATAAGGTTAGGTTGGCTAGGTCTCTTTTTCATACCCACAAATGTTTAGTAACGTTTATTTTTTAAATATCCATTTTTTTAACATATTTCCACAAACTACAACTATTTTATAACAGTGAAAACTCCGGGGTTTATATAATTGTTTTCAATCAATTTCGTTCGCGGTTAGTCCTATGTAATTACCAATTTCCGTCGAAAATGATTTACAAAAGTGCCTTAGATCTGTCTACACAATTGATTCCAAAAACTTAAAATCCTAAAATTCGGTGGATGACCTAAGCGATAATAATACCTAAGGGCAAGTAGTGTAAGTTAGACCACACCTCAACAGACATCCTTCTTCTGACACCACCAGGAGCTGTATCTTCACTTGCCTCCTTCAACATATAAACAAACCTTCATAGATGTTTGTCACCAAGGAAAGGATAGGAGGAGGGCCCGCCAAAGACCATATATGAACGACAGGACACCGACCATCCCTACCATTCAAGAAGATGGGCGGTCTACGTCGACGACACCGCCATCTGTTGAGCTCGCGTGTCACTATACGGAACATCATTTTTAACGTATGGAAACAGTAAAAAAAAAAAAAAATAGGCAGAGCATTCCACAGTTTGGCTGTGTGAGGAAAGAAGGATGTATTGTAACGGGTTATTCTAGTGTGATATCCACAGAGAAACGACGGGCACCGCGGGCAAGACGTGGAAGAACCAAGCGGACTGTGAAGAGCTGCAGAAGGACCTCTGTGGGCTCCAGGAATGGTCGAAGGAATGGCTGCTGAGATTCAATGTCACGAAGTGTAAGAGGATGCACCTGGGGCGTACCAACGTTAAGGAGGCGTACCATATGTCCCAACGGGATGAAGAAAATGTACTAGTTGAGACTGTGTGTGAGAAGGACCTAGGTGTGTATGTTGACAATGAGCTGAAGTTCTCGGGCCATTGAGAGAAGAAGGTAAATCAGGCAAATAAATTATTGGGTCTTATAAGAAGGTCGTTCAGATATCTAGACGGTCCGTCCCTCGTGACGATCTTCAGGAGTGAAGTGCTTCCCCATCTGGAGTACTGTCACCCCATCTGGTCCCCGAGATATGCTAGGGACTGTCAGTTGGTTGAAAATGTTCAAAGGAGGGCCACCAAACTGGTGCCTGCACTTCGGCACCTCAGCTACCCTGAGAGATTGGAGCGCCTGAACTTGCCTAGCTTATACTACAGACGGGCAAGGGGGGACCTAGTTGAGGTTTATAAGCATCTCAGGGGGCACTACTCAGTTGAGTGTCCTTACTTGGAGCTGGCGGACGCTCGCCCCACAAGGGGTCACAGCTCAAGATTGAAGAAGCCGCAAGTCCAGAAAACCGTGAGGGCAAACTTTTTCGGAGTGAGGGTTGTAAACTCTTGGAACAATCTACCAGAGAGTGTTGTGACGGCACCGAGTGTGAGCTCTTTCAAGAGAAGACTTGACCAACACTGGAGCGGGTTCAGGTACATTCAGGTGCCGGTGCATGCCCAGTATTTGCCAACTGTGCGTGACAGAGACGTGACCGATCGCCCGGGCGGCTAGCGAGCCGACCTTTTGGTGAAGAATATAAAGGAAAAGAGACGTGACCGATCGCCCAAGCGGCTAACAAGCCGATCAGTGGCGAAGAGGATAAAAGTAAAAGTGTGGTACGAGCCCAGGGCTTTGCCGGCGGTACACAGGAGGCCAAGTCCACCGACCATTGTCCGTTAAAGACCTGTAAAAGAGAGAGAGTGAAGCAACATTACGGCGAAGAGAAAGGGAAGAAAGATTGTCGACTAAAGGAGGAGCGGTATTAAGACGAAATGCCTTTGATTCCACCCTATCTAACAGTTGGGCAGAAGAGCCACCCCAGATATGAGAACATACTCCAAGTTAGGGCGAATGAATCCCTTATACAGTATACTTGAAGCAACTGCTCATGAGTGAAGTAGCTACGGCATCTATACAGCTTTCTCAACTTTCGGGAGGCAGCCTTAGCTATGTTAAGGATGTGTGATTTCCAGGACATATTGGAGGAAATGGTGAGGCCTAGCATGTATATTTAAGAATTTGGCAGAATGATAGCGTCCTGAAATGTAATTGGTGGGAGATTGTAGTGGATTTCTCCCCTACAAACGCTGTTTGTCGCTGCATAGCCGACCCCGCGAATTCCACAGTGTGTGCCTCGTGGTCTAGGTCAACCAGCGCCGCCCACGGAGCGGGGGTCAACTACTAAGCCACGACAACCCCCGCTATTTAAGACCTGACCTCGTGGTGATCTCTCTCATTCTACCTACACCAACCAGCCAGCAACACCTCCTCCTCCTCCGCCTGCCTGGCGGTCCTCGCTCCCGCCGGCGAGCATGGCGACCCACAAACTGTCCTCCTCTGAGCACCCTCACCAACCAGCTCTCTCTACATCACGCTTGTAACCATGCTGCCTTCCCAGCATCAAGCTGCATTGTACATCCAATACAACATGTATACAGAGAGCACAGTGTGAGTTTCCTTTCTCCATCCCATCCTGAGTGTAAACCAAACATCCCATACTCCACAAATGGTGACTCCCGAAGATTCGCACTCACACAGGATGGAGGAGAAACAGATCACGCTCCCAGTCTTCAAGCAACATGGAAGACTGGCTTATCCACCCAGAGGCAGCTCTCATCGGCTCTACAGCTACTGTCTCTAAACCGCAGGTTAGACACCCTAGAGCATCACTGCTTCTCTAAGCACACACCTGCTACTGTCCTACACCCTGCTGCTGTCGTGGACCCAGCTGCTGTCACGAGCCCTCATCCGCTTCTGCTGACGCAGCCCCTGCTCCTGACCCAGGCCCACACTCCCCAGCAGGTGCATCTGACGACTCTGTACCTGCCTTGAGGGAAGCACAACATTCATCGCCTCCACACACCCTCTTTCTCCCTCTCTTCTCCCACAGATATTGTGTATCGAGACAGTTGTCTCTTCTAGCGGCCGGCTCATCCACGCCCTCGCCGTTATGTCCCACATGAGGCATGCACCGCCCGTTCTGCCTCACATGTGCCATGCAACCCTGCAGACAACAATTCTCCTACACCGTCTGGAGGGAAGGAGGGAGTATTGTAGTGGATTTCTCCCCTACAAACGCTGTTTGTCACTGCGAAGCCGACCCCGCGAATTCCCCAGTGTATGCCTCGTGGTCTGGGTCAACCAGCGCCGCCATACATCACGGAGGTCAGCTACTAAGCCACGCCTACCCCCGTTACTTAAGACCTGACCTCGTGGTGATCGCTCTCTTTCTACCTACACCAACCAGCCAGCAACACCTCCTCCTCCACCTGCCTGGCGGTCCTCGCTCCCGCCGGCGAGCATGGCGACCCACAAACTGTCCTCGTCTGAGCATCCTCACCAACCAGCTCTCTCTACATCACGCTTGTAACCACGCTGCCTTCCCAGCACCAAGCTGCATTGTACATCCAATACAACATGTATAACACAGTCAAGGCAGCCTCGTACCGACTCTACATGCTACGACTACTTAGGTCACTTGGGATACCCACGCCAAAGCTGAGGACTATCTATAACGCCTTTATTCTCCCCAAACTAAAGAATGCGTCACCATCCTGGTCGTCTTCTCTCAACTCCACCCAACGTCGGCTAGAGAAGGTACAGAATGGGCCTGCAGAATCATGCTCGGCACAGAATACTCCGGCTACATCAATGCTCTCTCCACCCTGGAAATACCATCCCTCAGTGACCTCCACCACCAAGCACTGGCAAGGTTTGGCAGTGAACTAATGCATCACTCTCGTCATCGCCACCTCCTGCCACTGGCAGCCCCCTCAGGCACCTCGTGCAGTCCGCTAATACAAAAAAATTCAGCCCATAAGAGCCCGCACCGATAGATATAAGAATAGCACCATCCCATCTATTGTTAAAATAATAAACAACTCCTGATTTATGTACTGTACAGCCCTGTAAATATATTCAACGCATATTATATCATTATTTCTAAATCAAATGTAAGTCTGTATATTTTCAGCCACCGGCTGCAACCCTATTAATGAACCGTTTATTATTATTATTATTATTATTATTATTATTATTATTATTATTATTATTATTATTACACACACATACACATACACACAAAACCTCAACGTGACCAAAACACACACACACACAAACAGAAAACACCTTAATGTGATCAACACACACACACACACACACACACTTGTTGCCTGAAATCCCATAACAGGAACCACAGGTGCCTTGAGTCCTTTTGTTTGTGTTGCCTAATGATCTTGTGCCTAATACATTCTAAATGTGACAGTGATGACTGAAACCAATGCCACAGTGGGTATTTGCATTGCTTGAACTTAGATAATATTTGTGTTACCCAATTTGTTGGCATTCTAAGGAGAGGGAAACTATCTTCACTGACTTATGATTCTTATATAACAACTGGATATAAATACTTTTAGCCATACAGTATATGTAGTGACTTCGCTGTTACAACAGTAGATGTTAGCTGCTAGGGGTTGACAGTTGCCCAGGGGATGTGGGAGAGTCAGGTGTCTCTATGGCCTTCTGTGTATGATGTTGAGTATATAAATTTTGTGAAATGAGTATCAGTTCCTTCAATTATCATCAATCACTTACTGTAGTGCAAAAATCACAATTTTTGCTCATGAAAAAATCACTTTTGCATTACTCTGTGGGGTTATGCGATATTGGTTGACACTCAGGATGGGATGGAGAAAGGAAACTCACAATGTGCTCTCTGTATTCATATTGTATTGGATGTACAGTGCAGCTTGGTGCTGGGGGGTGGCAGCGTGAGTTTAAGCGTGATGTAGAGAGAGCTGGTTGGTGAGGGTGCTCAGAGGAGAACATGCAGCTTGTAGGGCGGCATAGTGGTTACGAAACGGGTTGGTGACGGTAGGGGCAGACCCCATCAAAATGTAGGTCTGATGATGCATACAAGATGTGATACTCGCAAATTATGGCACAAACAAGCCGGACACTAAAGTAATCAATTAGTACTCGGTTCTGAAGAGTAATTAGTACCGAAATCATCTGTTCTTTTAAAGTTCTGGGTTTGCCCATCCCTACTGAAGAGATATTAAAGTAAAGTGAAGATCAAGGAATATTACATTCATTGAGAAAAATCAAAAGCGACCTAAACAGTAGATAGAGAGCCTGCGCAAAATTTTTATGTATGGTTCATATAAATTATATTTTTTAAATACGTACATAGCAATTTCAACCAGATTAGAAACAATTGTAATACCTATATAAACATAAAACTTAATTTACTTAATTTGTATACAATTTGATAATTTGAGTAAATATATAAGAAACAGAGTATCCAACTGAATACCCAATAACCCTGCATTAGTATTGTACACCAAGATAATAGACAATGTTAATAAACTTTACACAGAACCTCAAAACCAATAATTCTGTAGACAAAAAGTCAAAATGATAATATAAATAAATTTAACCTAGTAATGGATATTTCCGGCTATAACAGGTTAAGTTATATTAATTCATATCACCAGAAAAATAAATTACAACTCCGTAGAACATCTTGTTCGTGGTAATTCCCCAACAATGGCCGATTGTTTTGAAGGGACCACAAGCGTCGGTTTGATTTCCTAAGTGAAAGTTTGACGTCGAGAAGAGAATGTGAAGGGTCAACCAGTTTATTATCCTTCAGTTATTTTAGTGTATACATCTATACCAGGTAAAGTTCGTGTTGTGTTTAGTGACCAAGGTGTCGAAGTATTCAACAAGTGGTAGTAGCTCATGCTGATGATAATACTTTCAGTTTGAATTATATTGTATATTTCTAAATTTCATAATTAAATCACTTATCTGCTTACTAAGCGTTAGCTCTGGTCAAGGTGTAGAAGGTAGGCATTGATACGCTATTCAGCATTATTTGATACAAATGGAATTAGTTTAATGAGGTTATTCCTCTGAGGCAGTCATTTACTTTTTATCCTCTTCACCACTGATCGGCTCGTTAGCCACTTGGGTGGTATAACAGCTTCAGGTTAATATACTGTACTTGCAGAAACGCCTAGGCCACGGTAGGACGCCACCCTCCGGGAGGTTCCACATTGTCTCCCTGTTCAGTCCCCAAAACGTCTTCCATTAATAGTTCATTAACGGTGTATGTAAGTTCCACCATGTTTTTCACTACAACGGCACAGCAAAGTATATTTTTTCTGCATTAAACTGTTATTATTTTATCATCTAATCATCACTACATATAGCATCATCCATCATCACTACATATAACACCATCCATCATCACTACATATAACCACCCATCATCACTACATATAACATCCATCATTACTACATATAACACCATCCATCATCACTACATATAACCACCCATCATCACTACATATAACAAGCAACATTACTACATATAACACCATCCATCATCACTACATATATATATATATGACTAACCTGCCGGGCTGCATAGCACCAATGCACCTGCATCATCTCGCGTCCGGAAATGCCTCAAATTTCACCATATCAAAGTAAGTTCTTTCTGTTTAATATACCGGGGAAGTTAGGTAAGGTTAGGTAGGTGTGTTTGGTTTGGTTTGGTTGGTTAGATCTGTTCTTCATAACCACAAATGTTAAGTAGCATTTATTTTAAAAATAAAATATCTGTTTTTTAACATATTACCACAAACTACAACAGTGTCCACTATAATATAACAATGAAAATCAGGCGTTTTTATAATTGTTTTCAATCAATTTCGCCTGCAGGTTAGTCCTATATAATTACCCAGCTTCAGTAGACATATATTACCTGAGAAGGTGAATTTTCGATCTTACACCGGTATTTCTCTGTTATTAATATGTTTTTCGTCGTGTTTTGACAATTCTAAGACCCTTTTCTATTGTGATATTCCCGCCGAAAATTTTCCGGGTAAAAAATTTGTTCTCATAATTTCCTGAAAATGCGCCTGATTTCCATCTCAAACCCGGAAAAAAACTCCCGCATCCCCGGGATTTTCCGGGTATCGGGAATTTTTTTTTTTAATTTTCCGGAAAATGTGCCTCTCGGAAAATCGTTCCCAAAGCCGAAATTTTCCTGTTATAAAAGGTGTGCAAGACACTGCTTTTTGCCATATTATGTCATCATTTACAGGATAGTGATCCTATATTTCCCTATTGACACTTTTTAAGTTATTTTCGGTGCAGTGACGTTAACAAATTAAAATTTCACCTATTATTGTTTTTACATGTTTTACATACTTTATTTTCTTATTTTTATTTTTTCAGTTCCATCTTCATGGCCAATAAAAATAATATAAGAACGTCTAAAGTTGTCCATCGACAGACCTTTCAAAACAGCAACCAAATAATTGAGATGACTCTGAGAACAATTCCAAAGAGTGAAATACAGCATCAAGTGTTTCCTGAACCACCACATTTTGAGAGAGATTGTGCTCTGAGGAAGGAGCTGCAAAATGTAGTAAAAGAAAAGAATAACAATAACAAGACTGTTGGGTCCAAAAATGTGGGGAAGCAACCAACACACAATATCAAGAATAAGACATCAGTTAATCAAGTTGAAGTTGAGATTTCAAGAAAAAAATCCAGTAAAAAACCTCATAAGATTGTTCCTCATAATACCACATGGGAGGATGTGCTGCATAAATGTAGCACAGTCACTAGTGTTAGTGAGAAAGACCTTCCACTGCAGTCTACAGCATCTGATGATCACCCCTCTCAACCTGTTAGTGAACAATCCCTGCCAAAACAATCTGAGAGAAACTCACCCAGAAATGAAAATAGAGGTCTGAGGTACAGAATGAAAAAATCAAAGACAGTAAAAAGTTCTCTTCAACCCAGTCACTCCATAGTAGCACCTGTACTTAACCCTACCAATAGCTATCATCAGCTGTATGTTGATAACTCATCAACTACCAGTGAACACACAAACAGAGTTAATAATATCCCTGAAAGGCCAATATCAAAAAATTCTCAGCAGAGACTGCATACAGTACACAGAGACGTAATGGTGAATAATTCCAGGAATGAAAACGTCGAACCTGATCCCCAAAACAGTTTTCTGGCACAATATGAACAAGCAAAGGTGAGCAGTACCTGAGTGTTAGTTGTGTGTACTGTATATCATATAACAAATTTAATTGCATATACAGTACAGTACAGTACAGTACAGTACTGTACTGTATTGTACTGTACTGTACTTTACTGTAATGAAGGAGGTTTTTCTTATTCGTTTCATATTTTATAATTACAATATATGACTATGCGATTTTGTACTCCTGTTAATTATATCCTTGTACAGTAGATCCTCTTAAAGCTCATCAGTTGAAACTTAATAAAAAGCTTACCTCACTTCTATATCTCTGCAGATCCAGTTTGTGTTTTGTTCACCCATAAATGCAAAACTCTCTACAGTATTTTCTAGCAAAACTAAAAAAAAAAAAAACATTGGTGAAAATATAAAATTTTGTTTTGTTTGTTTTGTGGATAACAACCATTCAATAAAACCATGTCAAGGTGTCTTTAAGAACATTAGTGTGGCTGCAAATGGTGGGGGGTTCTGCTGACAGTATTGTTTGCCATTTGGTGTTGGTTCAAAATATAACTTGCATTGCTGGAATCCTTGCAAGATAGCGATTAATTTGAGTATAAGCATCTTATAGTTTGCACAAGAGATAAAATTTTAAGTCCTTTGCCTTAGTACATTTGAGTACAAAGAGAGTACAGTAATATGTTGCTAAAAATTATGGATTTTTCACAGGGAAAGTTTGTATTGCTAACCCCAGTGGTCAGGATATTATGTCATTGAATGTTAGAGTATTTCAAATAAACTCTTTGTTTAGTTCTGTACATACAGTGAACCCTCGAAGATCCGGACTAAAAGGGGGGACCACCTGTCCAGAAAACCCGATTGTCCGGATTTTCCGGCGAATAATAGATGATATAAGAAACACCAATACAGTACTAATGTAGTGATAAACAAATTACTGTATATAAACCATGCCTTTACCTATGACAACATAATAAGAAACATTGAAGCATTACTAGAGTGAATGAAATAATATTCCCACAACAACAATTATCAACTCTGTTTATGTTTCCCACCTCCCCAGGCACCTGTGTCCAAGCAACTAACGGGTTAAGCAGCGCCCACGGGCCTGAAATATTCTTTGCTCTGGTTTTGGAATGCTTCTTAGGGAAACTTCTAAGAGGCTTCTTAGCCCAGAACCTCCCAATTTTTTATCCAGATCTTCCAAAATCCGGATTTCCCAGGTCCAGATCTTCGATGGTTTACTGTACAGTATATGCAAATTCCCATTTAGTGAATGTGCATAAAGCGAGGGTCCAGTGTACAGTAAGTTTGTGCCATAACACTAACACTTTGTCAGAAAGAGGTCCAGTAAGCCTGGGCAAGATTTATGCTGATGTAAGTTGTATTGGTACCAGTAATAGTACATTTTATGCATTATTTTGCCTTTTTTATTTTATTTTTTGGCTTCGATGGTTCAGAATTTTTGCTAATCCGGAACCAGTCCGGTCCCAAGCTCCCCGTTAAAAGATACAGTGTCCGATAATTCACATTCTTGGGCCAGGGATAAACAGGAAATGCTGTACTGTAGTGAAGCTGGCAAAAATTGAGGCCTGATACATGCACAGTAATCAAATTTTTTTGAGGAGTTTGAGAACACAACAGAAAACATACTGAATTCATCACTAGATATAATAAAAGGTGTGATTAAGACTATATCGAGGTTTAAATGAGGGTAATGCAGAGTAGTGGTGTGATGAAGGTGGAACACACACCCAGGATTGTTCTCCATATAATAAATCCTTGAAAAATACTCTGGGTCATGAAAAAAACAGAGACCATGATGATGAAGTAGTTGAGGAAAGGAGCAGTCTTTTAACCCCTAAACTACGGGGACTTAATTTTTATTATTTTATCTGGCTAACACCAGGTGATTTTATTCAACTCACAGGGGAGCCCATACACAAGGGGTTAAGTGATGTTCTGAGCTCAAGGGAAGTTTATGGAACATTTGCTCAGAGGATTAGAAAGTGTGATTACAGTGAAACCTCTATTTAATGGACTATCTGGAGATAAAAGTCCATTATATCGAGGGTCCATTAGGTGTGAAACTCCCCGTTTAATAGATTATATAGAAATAGAGGTTCATTATATAGAGGTTTCACTGTGGTCGCCGACCTTCAGATATGAGGACGGTACTCTGACTAAATGTTTGATCAAATGAGTTTTATGAACAGTGTGAATTTAACTCATATAAGTGGTATTGTATGCTTGTTATGACCACTAGCATGAATTCAGAGTTCTCTTGTTGTCCTTGTAAGATGATAAAAGTGAAGCTATTCTTCATGGTTCATAATTTGATCTACATTTTGTTTCCAGGGAACTGAGAATAGACTGCTATCTGATGATGTCAATGCTTCACCCTTTGGAGAGAGTGCGCTCATGTTGTTGCAGCAACTTAAAGAAAGGCTTCAGTCTAGAGGTGGGTAAGACTTTTGACTGTCCCTGATACCATACTTCTGGAGGATGGTGATTGTGGTTTCTTCTGGGATTATACATTGTAATTGATAAGGATGGCAATGAATGGTGACTGAGTAAAACTGATGATTGAAAATTTGGATTGGATGACCAAAAATTTAATTAGGGTGTTATAATTAAGGAAGACCAAAATTAAGAAAGAAAGACCCTGTGAGGGATATTTTGGTGGAGGAATCTATAGTTTATTGATGAGCTTGTGGTGCCTGGAGGAATGCCTGCTGTAGTGTGGACTGTAATGAGATGTAGATTGATAGGTAGATACTATATGTAGATACTGTATATAGATTGACTGATAGGTAGATATCCCCCTACTAAATTTTGTTTGTGCTTGATTACTATACCATATTATTTTCCCTACGCACAGGTGACAGTGAGGGCAATGATCTCGTGGGTGTGCTGGAGGCTGTCATTTGTGGACAGGGATCTCTGGGTGGCCTAGGTGCAGGCAATCCACCTCCATCAGCATATAAATCCTCTGCTCACTATCCTCCTGTTTTTCCTTCTGAATCAAACATTTATTCCTCTCACCCCAGTTTTCAACAGAGACGTAAACAGGAAAATATTGACACTAGAGTTTCTCTGAATGTACCTCATGAATATCATCAAAACTCCAATTACCATCCCAGAAAGGTGAGAACTGATCCTCACACTGAACAGACTGGGGAAGAATATTTGCCACAGAATTTACAAGACCAGCATCAGATGAATAATGGATTTCCTCAACAAACCTCAGATCATCCCACTACCCATAGGCAGTATCCTTACCAGAGTACTGTGCAGGACCTTCAGGACAAACCTATTGAAGATGAAGCCACCCATCACCACACTGTGTACCGTGATTCTCAGCATCATGTCCCACAAGAAACTAGCAACCATAACAAACTCATTCAGTAAGGCAAATAAATAAAAAGAAACTTGTTCTTATTCTTACATCTGCTCTTATTTCCCCTCTTTTTTATTCTTTTTTTTTTCATAACTAAAATACAGTATACCTGAAGTTCATTATTGGAAAAAATACTAACTGTAGCAGAGTTTATATAAAAAAATGACTGATAAATGGAATTGTTATAAGGATGTAACATGACACTGGTCATGATCCTTGTACAGGAATACCCTGGTTATTGCAAAGGATGCATTCTTAAAAGTCATTGTGAATAACGAATTTGCAAACATTGGCGCAATTTTCCCCATAATAATTAATGTAAACAGGGGGTGATGCATTCCCAGCCAGCAACTTTCACCACACATTTTTCGATATAGTTCACTGCTCATTCTCTGACACTATTAGGGACCAGGGTCACATGTATACTGTAGTACTGTACCAGTAAATGTGAGGAATAAGTTAAAATTATACTGTACTACTAAATAAAATGAAAGAAAAAATACCATGTTGCCAGTTGGCAATAGTTTCACTACACATGGGACATGGAAGACTGGAGCGGCTGAGATCCCCAACACTGCTCCCTCCTCCTCATCCCGTGATCCCTGCGCCAACTACCGAGCATACAGTATAAGAAATGATTGTTCTCTCATGTTTTTTACCATATGATAATCATTTATTTTATTTTATTTTTTTGCAGTCTGTACCTCCCTCCCAAGATCGCACACTAACTCCCGCAGACATAAATGTTCATTCTCTTTGTTTTTTATCATATGATAAACACATCTTTCATTTTTTTTGCACATTCTGTATGAATGATTATGTGTGCATGTAACAGTAAAAAAAGAAAGGAATAAAATTTCCCGGTACAGTACGTATATCTTCCCAAAAATATGAGTTGAAAGATAACAATAACAGAGCTTGACTTGGTATGGGGAGAGCTTGGGGGATGTAGCTACAGGGACAGTCCTTGGCAACATGCCATGTGCACACATATATTCAGGTCACACACATACAGTACATACCCATGTTCTTCATATTTACAGAATTATTTTATAGCAGGATATTTTTTTAAATACATGTATACTCGCAACAAAAAGTATCGGTGCATACTGTAGTGGAACAATTTGAGACCAGTGACGATATGTATTGGGAAAGGCAAGTTGTTCCAGCCGTATGTTGGCAGCCCTGTAATCCTGTTGAGCTGCGACCATTGATGTATGGAGATATATTTCGTCTGTCTCATTCCATAAGTTTCGAATCTCACAAATATCAATATAGAAACACCCACATATTGATCCGTTTCATAATGTCATTGTATACTGAACATTGTGCAATCTAAATGTAATACTTTACGGGCCCTTTGATAATAATTCCCCCCCCCCCCGTTGTCTGTAGCCCCAGTTTCGAGGTACAGTGGGGTATGCTATAACGAACGTAATTGGTTCCAGAACCTCGTTCGTTATAGCATTCGTTCGTTATAGGATTAATCCGTTCCAGGCCCCCAAATACAACCACTTAACACTGAAAAAATTCTGTGGAAAATGTAAAAAATACGGTACTTTATCTTACCTTAGTGTTATTCAGCATGCAGGTACCCCTAAACACTGGCACATCACTATCACTTCCACTGGGAGTCTTGGCTTTAAGGTCCTCAAACAATTGTCTGGCCTTCTCACAAATTATAGCTTCACTAATGTTACCACCTGCCATTTCTTTCTCCTTTATCCACACTAAGAGTAAATTTTCCATCTCTTCAATCACATTACACTTTGCTTTGCTAAGTCTAAAGATTCCCTTAGCCACTTGCACAGTTTTTAACTCCTCTTTATTCTTCAAAATCGTACATATAGTCGATTTAGCCATCCCATATTCATCACTAAGTTTCGCAATGCTTCTTCCATTCTCACGTTTCTTTATAATTTCTTTCTTAGTTTCAAGGGTTATTAGCTTTCTCACTCGCTTTGGACGACTCATTGTTACAATTGTATACTTGTATAACAAAATAGTTATACAAATAACGCGAATTTCCACATCAAAAGACGAAATTTCAACAATAACAGTGGTGCACTGGCTACACAATGAGACGAAGATGGCGCCTGACGCTCTTGTTGTGGGTCGCGGTACAACAATATTCATGCGCCAGGCGAAATAGTCCCGTATTCATCTGCGTTCGTTGTAGGAGTTGCGTTCGTTATAGCATTCTCAATTTTATAGGTAAAACCGTTCGTTATAGGAATATTCGTAGTAGGATCCGTTCGTTATAGCATACCCCACTGTATTGCCGAATCCATCATGCAGTGGTGTTCCTGTGGACACCAACCCGCCGGCTAATATCTGTGACGCCGAACCCTTCGTTATGAAGGGCAGTAATAGCTCCTCGTGTTTCCTCTGAGGTTTCCATGTCGTCTGGCATGTGTAGATCTCTACTGCTTCATATTGCCTCTGTTTTATACCCATGTTCACCGAGACCGAACCCTCGCTCATCATTCAGTCGACACAAAGCAACAATCTGAAAAGAGGAAACAAACACACTGATTGTCAGCCATATAGCAACACCTAGTGGGGGGGGGGGGGTTATGAGGATACACTTACCAACCTTCCCGACATATCACAGTGAATACGTATCGTTTCGGAAGTTGTCGATCTCACCCTGCACCGATACTTTTTGGTGCGAGTATACAAGTACAGTACACTCCATATAATGTGATAGAATAACTGCATTAGTACCATAAAAACAATACAAAAGAACACTGTGTGAGTGAGTGTGTGTACGATATTTGTAAATGAGTGTAAACATTTAAATCAGCTTTTATCATCCCCATTTGAAGATTTTTAGAATGCTTGGCATGTTTTTTCACGCTGCACTTTGGAAGTACAGGTACAGGCGTGGGGTGAGCATCTCCCGTGCGTGCTCCTTATTACTGTGTAATATGAGAGCTGTGTATGGTTTGAAATACACTATTACTGTAGGGTATCGTAATTTTTCATTACGAATAAGCGGGGTATGCTTTGCGAATATCGAATCATGGTGTTAAAATATTAATTGTGGATAGGCGGGAATGTGAATAGCGAGGTATTCCTTTACTGTATTAGCATATTATTGGAGCAGCAAGAACTTGGCACTCTGTATACAATATACAGTCGACATCTTATACAGTCTATATAGATATAGTAATTGTTTTGATCTTTCTGATTATTTTTATAATTCTGACCAACCTGATTAAGAAAATTTTTGGGCAGTGTGTTTGTAAGTTGTTTATCGAGTTAATTTGTCAAGATTTACTTGTTGTCTTGGAACAAGACATATCAAATAGTGCAGACTAAGTACTATCAATCATTCAGAGTACAGTACCATCCTTGGGCTGTTTTTAATTTCATTCATTCATCTTAGTCTCTGCCTTCCCTTGGCCCTCCTACCCCTCAACTTTGAAAATCAGGCGCATTTTACAGTACCCGGAAAATTCCAGGATGGGGTATTTTTTCCGGCTTTGAGAGACAGAATAATGCATCAATCTGAAAAATTCGGAGAAAATTCAGGGGATGGGGATTTCATTCCAGTTTCAAGAGATGTAATGCGCAGTTTCTGAAACTAATGAAAAAAAAATCCTGGTACCCGGAAAATTCCGAAAAATTCTGGGGATGATGGATTTTTTCCGGCTTTGAGAGAGTCAGCTCGTTACCCGGAAGTCTCTCATTCCCGGAGGTGCTCTGCACCAATTGTTCCGGCTAACGGAGATATTACTTTTCCATTAACTTTTAGTCCTTCATTATTAGTTATAACTTCTCTCATTGAGAATTCTGAATACAGTACAGGTTGACAATCCCTTATCTGAAATCCTTGGGGCCAGAGGCATTTCGGTTTTCGGAATTTTTCGGTTTTCAGAATGGTTAATTTATTTTATTTATTTTTTTTATAGCCTACCCGGGCACAAGTCACTGACCCACATTGGGGCGTGGGTGGCGAAAATATAATAAAAATTATAATAATAATAACAATTCATAGGTCTAGGTCGTGTTTCTCACTTTTGATCTTGTATTTCTTTATTATTATTATTATTTTATTATTACAGTATTATTTTTATTATTATTATTAATTTTATTATATATTATTATTATTATTATTATTATTATTATTATTATTGTTATCATTATTATTTTATTTTGGTGTATTTTTTATTAAAATTTTTATTTACTATGAATAATTATTTTAATTATTATTACTATTACATTTTCGCCCCCCAGGCCCTGATGTGGGTCAGTGATCTTTGCCCTGGTGGGCTAATCCCTGTTAAAAAAAAAAAAAAAAAAAAAAGTTTTGCCCACAAAAAAACTTGAGGTTTTTAGAGCTTTTCGGTTTTTGGAATTTGGGATAAAGGGTTGTCAACCTGTACTGTATACAGAATATTATACAAGGTTGGAGATAGAACAGAACCTTGTCTTACTCCCTGTCTAACTGTGAACTAATTAATAAGTTCATTGTTTACTTATACTGCCGTCTTCTGTTGCCAGTAAAAATTATTATTTTTTCTAAGATCTTTATAAGTTTATTGTGCTTTACCTTATCAAAGGCTTTTTCAAAATTAACAAAGCTGATATACAGACACATTTCTTTGGATCTCTAAAGCCCTTTCACTCAACATTTTCAAATCAAATATCGCTTACCCAGTTTCTTTTCCTACTCTATCAGATATTCTATTTATATGTGTACTGTATCTTTATTATCAACATTTTCTGGATTTTGTTTTTCTCTGAAAATGATGAGTCTGTAATAAGGCATGGCTGGTGTTTGGGCATTTTTGGATGTGTCTGTATGTAAACTTATGTCCCGTAAGCATGACAAGTCTTCTTTTGATGTCACTTGTGATGAAAGTTAGTAGAAGTGTCATATTTAATATCTTGGCCTATTCATTTCAGAGTACATGTCATCTACATCTTGTCTCATCCCCAGTCTATAGATCATAATAAATAATTATAGTCATGTTCTTCACATTACCATACCCAAATTTAATCTAACAAGCACACCAATGACAATGTAAGTTGACCCATAGCCTTACTCACCCACTTTATATTCACAAGATTCAAAGAGAAACCTTATTGTATTGTAGCTACATAGCACCACAAACTAATTCATTTGTAAATAGGCTTGTAATGTTCATGCTGTCAGTCAAACTAACTTATTGAGTTTAGTATAAGAAAATTTTCAGTGTGTTTGTTGTACTCAATGAATATTTCAGTTTTTTACTTTAATAATCTTTGTTTTTATTTGAAATCTTCTCACCACTCCTTTTGACTTATGTCAGGAAGATAACAAGACAGAGCGAGGTGATGGCAGAACAAGAGAGGATCATCACAGAGTTAAGAAAGTTAAGCTCTCAACTCATTGCCCAACAAGAGAAGGTAATTGAATATTTACATTTCTAAAACTCCTGCTGTAACCAATTATTGTCAGGGCCTTGTGGTACAGTGATCCCTCGGTTAACGAGAGCCTCGGTTAACGAAATTTCGGTTAACGAATTACCTTCCATAAGATTCTTAACTTCGGTTAACGAGCATTCCCTCGATAAACGAATTCCTTACGAGCGTCCCTCAACATGTTTTTGCTTGCACACTAGCTGTCATATTAGTCCCCCAATACAGTAATCGGTTCTAGGGCTTAAATTCCTTACTATTTTAGTAAATATCAAGATGTTTGTACTATTCAATAATTTTAAAAGTCTTATATTAAATTTTTTAGTCATTTTAACAATTATTTAACATAATTTAAATACAGGGAAACTAGTTTTTAGTGTGCCAAACAGCCTGTCAACATACCATACAGGCATCAGTCTCTGTGTCTTTTCAGTGGAGGTAACATCTTGCTTCAGACTCTCTTCAACTAAATGCTTTTTTCTGTGTTTCCAGTCAAATTATTGGTCATTTTGAAATTTATTTTACATATTGACAATATATAATGCAGTGCAGTGTTGATTTAAAGAAAATAATCTTGAATTACACCAAGAGAACTAAAATTTTATGGGTGAAATGGCGCCATGGGGTGACTTCTCTTCCACCAATGCTTTCTCTTCTCCCTTCTCCTCCACCCCCATTCTAATTCCCATCATCATCATCATCATCATCAGGAGCCTTTTACATACACACCTCAAAATAGTGTACTTTACTACCTTTTTTGTTGACTTAAGGCAATTTTCGTTGAGCAGGAACCAAATACCCAAAAACCCATTGAAACAATGGTTTCGGTTAACGATTTTTTCGGTTAACGAGCAACCTTCTAGAACGAATTGTGCTTGTTAACCGAGGGACCACTGTATTGTGAAATTAGCACTGAATTCACAACCCACAGGCCTTGGATTTGAAACTGCACTGCAAGGTGTTGGATTTAAATGTGATTTAAACTAGGTATGACATCCCTCAACAAAAAAACACTTGGCCTGTAAATCCAAATGACTCCAGATTCTCTTGACTGAAGTACCTGTATTGTTTGATTAAAAAAATTGTCCAGATTAGTTAGGAAGCCAATTTACAAGTATGGAAAGAGATAGAAGAAAACTAAATAGAAAAAAAATCAAGAAAGTAAAGGGTGAACTAAAAGATAATGAAATAATGACATATTATATCTAATAAAGACTTAGATGGTGTGGGGAATGAAATCACTGAAGTAGGAAAGAGGTAATATAAGGTACACAGATTAGGTATTTTACAAACAATTTACAAGAAGTAAATTTGATAACTTTTAGGTAAAATGAAAGACATTTACTTCAATTCTGGTGGTTCTGGCCTTCAGAGAGCGACAACATCAGTGACAAAAACTCTTTACAGTAATATTTAAATGTTTAGTCCCCCAGCAAAGTATTTTTAATTTTCTTTTTTCTTTTGAAATGCTGGATGAAATGCTCTCATATGTGAAACCAGTAATAAGAGCTCCCATCCGCTCGAAATGGAAATGCAGGTGGGATGCAGTCTCAGCAAACAAGCTTTGCGACATCCACCCTGCATTGGGTGCCTGAGGATATTAGGGACTGTCATACTGCCGGGAGACTGCTTTGGCCCACCTCCACATTGGTTACACACGGCTGACTCATGTTTTTTTTTTGCCCCCCTCCCCATTGTGATGACGGCCTGGTCCCATTGACTGTTTGACACCTCCAGGTGGAGTGTCCCAGTCTCAGATATTTGTTGTAAGCACCTCTCCCGGTGCCTGGGGGGAAATGTCTCTCTTCGGTGCTGGGAGGAGGAGTGGGAAGTGTGGGAGGGAATATCCTCTCCTTCGTGGAGAAAGTCGGCTTTCTGCACAAGCTTTGTGTTTTATCTATTTGAATGGTTGTTAGGGAAGTTGTGTTATTTTTTGCTTATTTTTTTTTACCTTGCATTACAGTATTCCCTTAATGCTCGCCGTTTAAAAGCTTGCGTCCCTCGGAAACTCACGGATTGCCATTAAAAAAAGAAAAGAAAATCTGTGTCCCAAAGAACACAGCTTCTCTTATTCAGCCTCTTGACCAAGGAATAATTGCTGTTTTCAAGTCATATTACCCCACTCGCAGTTTTTCCAAGATCCACGAGGCACTGGTAGAAGATGGCCAGGCAGGTGTGAAGGAGATTTGGAAAAATTACATCATTGCTGACTACATTGCAAATGTTAAACTGATCCATGATGAAATCACTAGCAAGTGTGTGAACTCCTGTTGAGGCCCTATGACCCTAAGCAGTGAATGATTTCATTGGGTTCCACCCAGTGGAGCCTCAGATCAATGCATGGTGCAAGTGGGGAGGGATTTGGTGACATGCAACCAGAAGAAATCAGAGAAGGGCTGCATGAAATCACTGGAGACAGCAACTGGGTGATTCTTTAGCTTATGGGAGAATGCAACTTCACATATAGAATACAGGCTGATTTTTGTTAGCCATTTTCAGACAAAAGGGTGCATTTTATCTGCTGTAAAATACGGCACATTTCTTCTTGTCCTGAAATAGGAATTGACTCCTGACCCTTGCTGTATCCATGCTTACTCACTACATCATGAATATTCAGCTGTTGTAGGTATTTCTAGATATACATTATTATCATCCAGTTCTCACAGCATTCATTATAACTAATGTAGTAAACAGGGATACTGTACTCCCCTCCCTTACTGTTAAGTTTCATTTGTTAGTTTTGTAACTTGGATGATCTAAACAGTACAAATATTTATTTTTCAGATTACTCTGAAAAATTTACAGCAAGATAAAGAAGCTGATGCTGTAAACTGTGATCTCAACACAAACACCCAACCTCCTGTAGTGGACATGGACAGCGGTGTTGGTGGAGAGAGCCACGACACTACTGGATCTGATAAAATTGTAGTGTCAGGTGAAGGAGAAAGGGGAGATAATAACAGTAGTAACAATAAACAAGCACAACAGAGGAATGTAAATAAGATGAGCCAGACTGAACAAAATTACCGTTCTGAATTATTGAGACTCCAAACTGAAAATGTTGCTTTACTGCGGGAAGTGAGAAGTCACCGGGAACTTGTAGTGTAAGTGAGACACAGTACAGTATTATGTAATTAGCACTTAAAAACATGATTGACATCCATAATTTAGAAATGTTATGTGTATGACTATAAATGAATGTTGTACAGGTTGTACCTCTCTAGTCCGGCATTCTGTGGTCCAGAAACTCCCGTGGTCCGGAACGATTTTAGTTTGTCCAATAGATAGATAGGCAGCTTTTTTTTTTTTTTTTTTTTACTTATCTGAATTATTATTATTATTACAGGAGTATTAAATTTTTGCCCCTCAGGCCCCAATGTGGGTCAGTGACCTATGCCCGGGTGGGCTAATCCCCTTAAAAAAAAAAGCCGCGGGAAATTAAGGTTTGTTTACATCCGGCAGTTCGGCTGCTCTCTCTCTCTCTGCTTGTCTATACAGAGTACAACATTTAACCCTTCAATATATATGAGCAGTAAATAAGTGTTGCTTTCATATTCTTATGTAGAGTAATGACGATATATTTTCACATGTGCGCACTTACATACGAGCAGTCTCACTTTTTTTTTTACCATTAATGGTTAGCTACTTATATTGTTCCATTTATTAACATTAAATAACATTACAGGTACTTCAAGCAACCATATTCATTTTTTACATTAATTTTACTACAGCTAAACTCAGGGTCTTATTTTCTTCAGTTTTATATGTAGAACCAATCAGTCACTGGTTTCGTAAGCTTTAACATAAACAATGCCGGCAGCCGTCTCGTCTCCTCTAATATTCCACGTATTATTAATAAATTGTATTGTTAATTTTGCACACACGTACATTAATTCAATAAAAACAAATTCAGAAACATTAATTAAAATATATATGAACAGTAAATAAGTGTTGCTTTCATATTCTTATGTAAAGTAATGACGATATGTTTTCACGTGTGCGCATGCTCACTTACATATGCGATCTCTTTTTCCTTTACCATTATCGTTAGCTACTTCTATTGATCCATTTATTAACATTAAATAACATTACTTAAAACAACCATATTAATTTTATTACAGCTATAACCAAGGTCTTATTTTCTTCAGTTTTATATGTAGAACCAGTCAGTCACTGGTTTTGTAATCAATGAAAACAATGTTGTGTCATTTCCTCGTGTGTTTTAATATTCTACGTATTATTAATGAATTTTATTGCTCATTTTGCACACATAAACATTAATTCGATAAAAAAGACATTCAGTAATAAACAATAATGAATCTCTTGTACATAAGAGAAATGACGCTGTTTACACGATTATGCACGTCGTCTGCACGTTGGCGGGCCGTTCAAACCCGTCGAAATTCAAGTTTCCGCCGTCAAAATTTTTATTTATTTATTTTTTTGTTTCAATAAAATACGTTAAGAATTAAAAACTCGCGAAATTTGAGAAGCTACTATACGACATTTAACGCTTCAATATGTCTTCAAAGAGACCATGACGCAGAGAAAGTGGTGCTAGTGCTTCCAGGCATAAGCACAATTCACTATCTATCCAGGAAAAGGGTGAATTTCCATGGTATGGCAATTTCCATGGTCCGGCACCGGTCAGGTCCCGAGGTTGCCGGACTAGAGAGGTACAACCTGTATACAGTATTGGTATGAGAGGAAAAGAATTCTGTTTTTGCTGTTGATGTGAGCCACCTTGCAGCATAGCAGGAAAAAGCTTACAAGAATGATTATAAATAGTTATATAGCTAAAAAAAATCCAGCATGAATTATGTCACTTTCCCATTAAGTCGAGTGGTATGAGATGTGACAGTCAAGTGGAGACAACAATTGCCTCCTGTCCTAAGGGTCACTGATTTGTGTCCAGGGCATTCCAAGTTTACCCAACTGTGATGAGAACCTGTAAATATAAACTATTCAGTATTATCCGGTATCAACATTTCTTACAATTTTTTTGGGGAAAGAATGGAGTCCCCATCATTATATTGTGTTGAAATAATTTGGTTAATAACCTTTTATTAGAAAAGTCTCTTAGAGAATTTATTCAGGATCATTAGGGTATCAAATTCATCTCTTTAACACAATTAGAACTAATGCTGTGAATAAAAGTATATACACTTTATCACAAGCCGTAAATATTTTCACCTGTGTCCATGGTTTAAATGTAATGGGATAGTGTCTGTCCATGCGAGATGAGGTGCATAGTTTAGAGTCGATGTGAGATGCATAGTTTAGACTCGGAAAACTTTCCCCAGCATCCAGAAACATTCTGGGGATGTGGGCTAGTGTCTGTCTGTGCAAGATGTGCGGTTAAACTAGAAACTTTTCCCAATACAGTGCCCAAAAAAATTCTGGGGATGTGGGATTTTTCCATGTTTGAGAGAGTCATCTGCTTACCCGGAAATCTCTCATCCCCAGAAGAGCTCTGCCCCAATTGTTCCAGCTAACGGGAATATCACTGTACTGTATTGGGTTTTCTGTGGTTGTTGATGCCTTATTCACTGTTTGGATTGCACTTATACTGTACAGCTATCCATCGAGATAAGAAAATTCGCTTATGCTGTACAAGTTTCCTAAATTGACACCTCTATTTTGTGTTAAGAAAGCTTCCACCAGATTTTAAGTTTATTTTGCTATTTTTAACCCCTCGAGTATGTCATCATATTCAAGGGGTAAGTATTTGCATACAGTATATGTGATTTCAACTTCTTGCTTAAACAAAACCCCTTAGGGATGTAACCTCACATATAGCTGGGGATCCACTGTACTCGTGCAATTACTCTTACTTTAAATATGGGAACAAATATACTGTATCTGAGCATGTGAATAAGTTTTTAAATTCAAATGTACAGTTTAATTATTAGGCCACCATGAAATGCACCTTTCATTTAAAATTATTCTATGATTTAAATTTTCCTGATGAAATGATTTAGGGTGTACTGTACTTATACTTTACAGTGCTTTCAATTACTGTATAAGATTGGTGAGAGTAACTTAAAACCATATAGAATCCTGCATCTCTATACAATAATGATCACTGCTATTTCCTTTATTTTAAACTTGTCTCTCTTAAAATTTTCAGGAGCAAATTAGTTATCCTCTCCATACTTTAAAGGGTTGAAGACCAGACAGACATATTGAAAAATTAATTACCCAGTAAGTTTGGGTTTTTCTTCACTTATTCTTATATATGTATTACATGAATGCTTACAGAGTATTTTCTGTACTTGCAGGAACTTGGAGATTCAGTTATCAAAAGCTTACAACTTACTGGACTTAGAGCAACAGTCTCACTCCAAACTCTTAGTTTCAAAACTTTCTAGTTCAGCACCCAACTTGGACATAGTGGGTAACCAGGCAAGGACAACACATGATGGCAAGTCTTCACACTTAAGAGCTCCTTCTAATCCTTCTGAGAGTGAGGCTGATTCTGCTTATGAAGAAAAAACTGGCTCTCACTTAACATCAAAGATAAATTCTCCCCACTCAGATATGCAAAAGGGAAAAGACTCTGCCACAAGTCTCTCAGAAATCTCGTCAGAGAAACATAAAGAGGATGAACAGGACCAAGATCCTCAAGGTCAGAGTTCAAACATTGTTCCCACCGACACTGCTTTACTCCATGCTGTGTACAATAATAAAGATAAAACAGTGTTAAATGCAGTCATGAATTCTTCAACTATACCCACAAGTCAGTTTATATTGCAGCAACGTGTTCCTGAGACCCAGGAGACGCCTGATGATGAGGTAAAGTCCTCAGTAAGTGACAGGCCTCCAAGATATAATGTGAAAGCATCTGACCAAGCAAATTATCATGGAATCTCTGCAAGAAAGGAAGATAAAACAGCAGGAGCCCAAAAGCCTTACTTTGCAAAAACTATTGGTATCGAAGCTAATAACCTATACATGGAGCCAACAGCACCTTTGGAAGAATGTGTGTTTTCTTCCTTTAGTACTGTAAATGATAATAACCCACAAGACAGTATGATAACCCAGGAAACATCTTTCCTTAAAGGAATTAAAGCTCCCAGACAAAATAGAAATACTATTTCTCTTGAAGGTAAACTTGAAACTCTTGAAGGTATTAACAGCTCTTTTGTTGGTTTGCATCAACCACTTGAGTCCACAAGGCTCCAGGAAGGCTCTCACAAACTTCCTAATATAAGTGAGGATGAAAGCAGTGTATTTGCACCCATGAAGGCACATAAGTCTTACAATAGCACATCATTCGAGAGTGTAGATAAACTTGATTGATTGATGATAAAAATTCTAAAAAGATTGGTTTAGTTGATGGTAATGAAGATGGGCTGAAATTCTTATGTTAATAATGGAAATTAGATAAAAATAACAGAAAGCCTAGTCAATTGTGAACTATTAAAATGTAATGCCTGTGAAGATGATACGTTGAAGGTAGAGTTTATAGGTTTTACATTGGTTTACAGAAAGGATGGATTACTGTCTTGTGATATGAACATTGAAAGAGTGAATGCAGAAAAATTATGATTGTGAAAAGAGGTTATACTAATAGTTTCCTTTAGGGTGATTGAGTTTCAATAATGTGAGTGTGAATAAGCTCGTTGACAGAGCAGGAGGAGTGTTATACAAAGACCACTGTTCAATAGAAATGGCCATCATCACTCACTTTGGAAGAATAATTAACTCACTTTCATATTATCAACTATATTTCACTCTCACCTAATTGAAGTGGAACAAATGTCCCAAACATCTTTAGGAAAACTAAAATACTGTGCAGGTATTCCTTGTTTAACAATGGGGTTGCGTTCCTGAAAACCAAATGTCAAGCAAAATTCTCACTCAACGAGGGATAACAGCAAAGCACAGAGGACGAACACCAGGTTCAAACAGCAGGGCGGTAAACACTGAGTACAGTACTGTACTCCATAATAATAATAATAATAAACGAGTGTTATAAACAGTTTTGAAGTTAAATTATTGATTTATTAACACTAAACTTGTGTATAAACGATGTGGTTCGGAGTTAAATGATTTAGTGAGCAAAAGATAAGCCTAATTCAAACAAATTTCAAATTTCATATGAAAAATGAAAAACAAATTCCTCTGATAAACATAAAATTGATAAATACCGTATCATATAAGAAAATAGCACATACTGTAATTTATGTACAAAAAATAGCTCCTTCCACACACATCATCCTCTGAGTGATGCAACACAGTTCAGCCAGGCAGTTACCCAGCTGACTCAGAGATATGTGACTGCTGCCACACTTTGCTGTGTGTATACCATTACTGTACTTCACATTCGGGGAGGGAGCGCGACTGGGCTCGCGACGCAGTTACAGTCCATTGCCTCCTCAAATACGTTCACATTCCACACATACACACTATGCTCTTCATCTTTCTTATTTTATAGTATTTATATTATATATTCTTAATTTCTAAACCACATCAGAGTATTGTAATGATATTTCCACAACTTTAATAGTTTCATTACGTGTAACAATGGCATTATGCCGTCTCAGTGGCTACCTCATCCCCAGTTTTTCCTTCCTTTCCGTTGAGGCAAGCTATCACTGAACCAAATTTTTATCTATTGTTAAGTGAGAAAGGGTGTCAATAATTATTGCGAAACCAAATTAATGTTAAATGAGGGAGACCTGTAATGTATCCTAGGAAGAAAACTGAAATGCTATGATTACTATTGTTGGATCACTAACACTGATGTTAAACAGTGTACAGTATAGTGGTGACAATATTTAGACAGTACTGTACTGAGCTTGGGACTCAAAGCTTTTAAATAGGGAATTTTTATATATTAGGACCTTTTGCTAAATATACATATGATCAAATATAAAATTGAAGACCAAAATACTGTAGCATGGTGGGGAGAGAAATGGAAGCTATAGATAAATATGTAGGAATGAAGATAACAAATGGAGAAATAATTATTTTGCTACTTTATTTAAAGAGTTTTATTAAATGTATGTTTTATAAAAAGCTGTGTTATGTACTGTACCATTCCATATGATATATAGTAATATTGATTAAGAGGAGATATTGTATTTTTATACACAAATTCTTATACAAATTATTTGTAGATAATATGTTAACTGAAAATTTTGAAGACAGTTAGTCCTCACTTAATGTCGTGGTTATGTTCCTGAAAACGCGATGTTGTACAAAACAACGTTAGCGAATCATTATTCCCCATAAGAAATACTGTATATAAAATACGGGAGTTACATTCTTGAGTCTCCCTTTGCCCCATGAAATACATTACATGTATAGAAATTCAATGGCATTTTTATAGAAAATAATATATACAGTTAACCCTCACTTTACGCGGTTAATGTAACCCGGAGGGTCCCGCGTAAAGTGAGAAACGCGTAAAGTGAATAACATAACATGGGATTAATTGAAATGGAGTCCGGGCCGATCCCCAAACTCCACTTTTTGACGACACACAACTATGTTGTAGTAAAAATATTATCTTAACTTTATGATGGTATGCACACACAATTAATAATTAAGAGAAATATCAATAATATTAGGTTTTTTAACACTTACATTAGTAGAAAAAGATGGCTGGGCACACGGGGAGGGCGGTTGGTTCCGAGGCAGAGGGCAGATTATTGGCCCTCACCTGTATCACTTGTATCAATTGTATCACTATCCACCACAGAGGCTTGCAGGGCCTCTTTGTCAAACTCCCCAAAGTCCATATAAGTCCATATTCTCACCATAATTATCACTATCACTGACTTGGGCCGGCTGTGGTGGGTGGCGGGTGAAGAACTGGTAATGTTTTGATGACTGGGCGACCTTGTGCGCACCATGTTCGCGCAGCTTACACAACATGGCGGATGGCGGGAGGTTTGGATCCAAAAATGGCGCGGCTCGCCAGCCGCTCTCCGCTGGTAGACGCCTCAGCCCCCGTTCTTTCAGGCGTCTCATTACTGCACGTCACCGACCGCACCTCCGGCACGAAGTTCCTCGTCGACACAGGTTCATCGGTCAGCATCATCCCTCCCTCACTACAAGACACGTCAAAGCAACCCTCTTATGACCTGTTCGCTGCCAACGGTACCCCCATCGCCTCCTACGGTGTACGCACCCTTGCCTTAGACCTCGGTCTGCCCAAGACTCTGCGTTGGTTATTCGTGATCACAGACGTGTCTCAACCCATCCTTGGTTTCGCCTTCCTCACCTTCCACAAGCTCGGCGTAGACGTAGACCCTCCTCCCATCATAGAACCTGCTCCTGTCATGGACCCTCCTCCTGACGTCGCCCCTGACCCGGTCATCCCAGCTAGAGACCATGAGGATGCAGCCCCTGCAGCGACAGGAGCACAACAACCATTGCTTGTACAACCTCCTTTAATCCCAAACCCTCTTTCTCCCCCTGATTCTCCCACAGGATCTGTGTCACTAGACGGAGTTGTCACCCGCAGTGGCCGAGTCGTACGTACACCTGCCCGGTATGTGTCATGTGTGGGACGCAACCCGGACAACATCCAGCCTCCCGCCGCGCCGGGAGGGGAGGGGGAGTATTGTAGTGGATCCTCTCCCCTACAACTCCCAACTGAGCTGCGGCCACGCGCCTACCAGCCAATCAGCGTACAGCCAGCTACGCCGAGAGACTAGGTCTATGCAGTGGTACGTTGGGGTACGATTGCCGACCTAGTCTCGACCTTCAACTTCCAGCTCAGGATCAGAGAGTTTTACACCTTACACGTCCTCTCCCGTGATTGGCCCTCACGCTACGAGCGCCTCAAATCCTGAGGTTTCTAAATCACATAAATACGACCCCGGCTGGCTGGGGAGGGGATTGTACACTCGGCTACCGGACCAGCAACATCTCTCCACAGCTCCTCACCACCCAGCTTCTCAGAAAGCTCCTCACCCTACAGGACCTCTGAGCAAGTTACTCCTCACCTAGTAACTCCTAAGCACTGCACTGCACTGTACAACAATATATATACAGAAAGTGCATTGTGAGTTTCTAATCTACCTCATTCCTGAGAGTAAGATATCTACATGTACGTACGTTTGTGTGCCCATACAAAGAGAAAATAGACAACTAAAGAGAATTGACAACTGGCCACTTACAGTACCCTACAATATTACCTAATTTTGCCAAGTAGATTATCATAGAAAACGGGAAATTTGTATCATAAAAAATGGGAAATATCTACTTTCCGGGAAAGTTGGTTATCTACTTTCCCGAAAAGTAGATAGATTTTCTACTTTTCAGGAAAGTAGATTATCGACTTTTCGGGGAAGTAGATTTTCGAATTTTGGGGGAAATATTACCAAATTTTGCGAAGTAGATTATCATAGAAAACGGGAAATTTTTATCATAAAAAACGGGAAATATCTACTTTCCGGGAAAGTTGGTTATCTACTTTCCCGAAAAGTAGACAGATTTTCTACTTTTCGGGAAAGTAGATTATCGAAAGTAGATTTTCGAATTTTGGGGGAAATATTACCTAATTTTGCGAAGTAGATTATCATAGAAAACGGGAAATTTGTATCATAAAAAATGGGAAATATCTACTTTCCGGGAAAGTTGGTTATCTACTTTCCCGAAAAGTAGATAGATTTTCTACTTTTCGGGAAAGTAGATTATCGACTTTTCGGGGAAGTAGATTTTCGAATTTTGGGGGAAATATTACCTAATTTTGCGAAGTAGATTATCATAGAAAACGGGAAATTTGTATCATAAAAAATGGGAAATATCTACTTTCCGGGAAAGTTGGTTATCTACTTTCCCGAAAAGTAGATAGATTTTCTACTTTTCGGGAAAGTAGATTATCGACTTTTCGGGGAAGTAGATTTTCGAATTTTGGGGGAAATATTACCTAATTTTGCGAAGTAGATTATCATAGAAAACGGGAAATTTGTATCATAAAAAATGGGAAATATCTACTTTCCGGGAAAGTTGGTTATCTACTTTCCCGAAAAGTAGATAGATTTTCTACTTTTCGGGAAAGTAGATTATCGACTTTTCGAAGTAGATTTTCGAATTTTGGGGAAATATTACCTAATTTTGCGAAGTAGATTATCATAGAAAACGGAAATTTGTATCATAAAAAATGGGAAATATCTACTTTCCGGGAAAGTTGGTTATCTACTTTCCCGAAAAGTAGATAGATTTTCTACTTTTCGGGAAAGTAGATTATCGACTTTTCGGGGAAGTAGATTTTCGAATTTTGGGGGAAATATTACCTAATTTTGCGAAGTAGATTATCATAGAAAACGGGAAATTTGTATCATAAAAACGGGAAATATCTACTTTCCGGGAAAGTTGGTTATCTACTTTCCCGAAAAGTAGATAGATTTTCTACTTTTCGGGAAAGTAGATTATCGACTTTTCGGGGAAGTAGATTTTCGAATTTTGGGGGAAATATTACCTAATTTTGCGAAGTAGATTATCATAGAAAACGGGAAATTTGTATCATAAAAAATGGGAAATATCTACTTTCCGGGAAAGTTGGTTATCTACTTTCCCCAGAAAAAGTAGATTATCCACTTTTCGGGGAAGTTTTTCGAATTTTGGGGGAAATATTACTTAATTTTGCGAAGTAGATTATCATAGAAAACGGGAAATTTGTATCATAAAAAATGGGAAATATCTACTTTCCGGGAAAGTTGGTTATCTACTTTCCCGAAAAGTAGATCGATTTTTCTACTTTTCAGGAAAGTAGATTATCGACTTTTCGGGGAAGTAGATTTTCGAATTTTGGGGGAAATATTACCAAATTTTGCGAAGTAGATTATCATAGAAAACGGGAAATTTTTATCATAAAAAACGGGAAATATCTACTTTCCGGGAAAGTTGGTTATCTACTTTCCCGAAAAGTAGATTTTTCTACTTTTAGGAAAAGTAGATTATTGACTTTTCGGGGAAGTAGATTTTATACTTTTTGTTAAATATTACCTAATTTTGCGAAGTAGATTATCATAGAAAACAGGAAATTTGTATCATAAAAAATGGGAAATATCTACTTTCCGGGAAAGTTGGTTATCTACTTTCCCGAAAAGTAGATAAATTTTCTACTTTTCGGGAAAGTAGATTATCGACTTTTCGGGGAAGTATATTTTCGAATTTTAGGGGAAATATTACCTAATTTTGCGAAGTAGATTATCATAGAAAACGGGAAATTTGTATCATAAAAATGAAATATCTACTTTCAGAAGGATTGGTTATCTACTTTTTCGAAAAAAGCTCAGAACTGAACCCTCTACTTTTCGGGAAAGTAGATGATCCACTTTTTGAGTAGATTTTCGAATTTTGGAAATATTACCTAATTTTGCGAAGTAGACCCATCATAAAACGGAAATTTGTATCATAAAAAATGGGAAATATCTACTTTCCGAGAAAGTTGGTTATCTACTTTTCCGAAAAGTAGATTTTTCTACTTTTCGGGAAAGTAGATTATCGACTTTTCGAGGAAGTAGATTATCGACTTTTTGGGAAATATTACCTAATTTTGCGAAGTAGATTATCATAGAAAACGGGAAATTTGTATCATAAAAAATGGGAAATATCTACTTTCCGGGAAAGTTGGTTATCTACTTTCCCGAAAAGTAGATAGATTTTCTACTTTTCGGAAAGTAGATTATCGACTTTTCGGGAAGTATATTTTCGAATTTTACGGGAAATATTACCTAATTTTGCGAAGTAGATTATCATAGAAAACGGGAAATTTGTATCATAAAAAATGGGAAATATCTACTTTCCGGGAAAGTTGGTTATCTACTTTCCCGAAAAGTAGACAGATTTTCTACTTTTCGGGAAAGTAGATTATCCACTTTTCGGGGAAGTAGATTTTCGAATTTTGGGGGAAATATTACTTAATTTTGCGAAGTAGATTATCATAGAAAACGGGAAATTTGTATCATAAAAAATGGGAAATATCTACTTTCCGGGAAAGTTGGTTATCTACTTTCCCGAAAAGTAGATCGATTTTTCTACTTTTCAGGAAAGTAGATTATCGACTTTTCGGGGAAGTAGATTTTCGAATTTTGGGGGAAATATTACCA